TGAGCAATTCCAACTTTGAGTGAACAGTCTTGATGAAACCCATCATCATTGTGTGCCTTGGAAAGAGTTTTCTGAAGCATCTTCTTGGGCAGCTCTCCTGGTGCTGCCTTCTCTTGTGCCATTTGTCAGTCCCTTGAAGGAAAGTGCTCAGCACATAGCCCTTGTTGATCTGCTGGTGGTTACTTTTGGAAGTCTGTGTGCAAGGGAGTTGTTTGTAAATAGTTACTAATCTAGGTTGTGTCCCTTTGATGTCTGAATTTAAATTTGGAGGCCTGGAAACTGCAGAACCTAAAGAATGGGTCCAGGCTAGTAAGTTATATGTAGGTTATATAGGTAGTGTCACTTTGTATGTTCCTACAAGATTCCTTGCATTAATGAAGTAAGTGGGTAGACACCTCTGTCTTTCAATTTCTTCTAGCAACCTTTGGAAACATCAAAAATTGCTGTCAATTGACCTTGATAAAGTGGCACTGCCCAGTTTTCGACAGAACCGACCCCAAGTGAGACCATTGTCCCCCGGAGAAAGTGGAGCATGGGACATTCCTGGAGGTAAATATTGAAAAGTTTGAAAGTTGCTGGTTTGGTTTGGCCTTTTTGCATAAGCTTTGGAAAAAACCCAAAACACAGCGCAGCCATATGAGAGGCCACTCTTTATTTTCAGTTGTGAAAAACATGCATGTAATACATGGCTGTATTATCAAAGGCTGTCTGATGAAGATTTTTTTTTTTGTATATGAATAGTTTGTTGAATAGAAAGTGTGCATGATATACTGGGAGGAAGATCTTGGTGGGTGCATTTTGATAGTTGAGGTTTGTTTGGATGCTGTTCAGTCTGATGGGTCAGCAGCAGCCTCTGTCCTTGGGACTGTGACCACATACCCACTGCTAATTAAAATTCCTTCTGTGAGTGCACAAAAGCAGAGTCCAGAAGAGTTTTGTCAGATTAGTGCCTTAGTTACACTAAAAATTCTGTCTAGCACTCAGAACAGCTTTCAGGTGGGCAGCTCTCCTTCACAAGATTGGCATTGCAGGCTGAGCTGGAAGCAGTTGGAAAGCCTCGTGTGTTCTTTTCCCAGTCTGAGCTGCTAGACCAGAGACACCTGTAGAAATGAAGGGTTTGTTTCTCTAGCTCATCCTCACTGTATGCACAGTCTCTGGAGCAAGCAACCATGAAATCACTTTCCTCGTTCCATCAGGATTTGAATTACAGCAATTACTTAGTAGTAAGATTATGGTCAAGTGTCTCCATCTCTCTTCTAATGCAAAACAGAAGACTGTTGTTACAGAGGAAATCTGGGCAATGCTTTCATGTGCCCGAATAGGTCAAGGTGGAAATGCTGGTGCTTTCCTGTAAGGTTAGCATCCCATCTGATTTTCACTAATCGGTCTGCAGCTGTTAATCTTCCTGTCTGAAATGTAATCTGATTAATGGCTGCCTGGGCTTTGAACAAGAGTTAGGGGCAGGTCCTCTTGGTAGATGGCATTAGCACCACAAAGCCATCGTGGCTCACGTGGTAACTGCTGCCTTCCAAACCTCTTTGCCTCTCCAGGTATAATGCCAGGCCGGTACAACCAGGACGTGGGACAGACCATTCCTGTCTTTGCCTTTCTCGGTGCCATGGTGGTCCTGGCGTTCTTTGTGGTGCAGATCAACAAAGCCAAGAGCAGGCCAAAGAGACGGAAACCGCGCGTGAAACGGCCGCAGCTGATGCAGCAGGTTCATCCACCAAAGACACCTTCTGTGTGAAAGCTCTGCCTTGCCAAAGATGACCTCCTGTGACTGCTTGCTTTCCAGGCCGATGGATCCAGTGGAGGTGCAGCGAGTGTGCACCTGACATCATCTCATAGTCTTTGGTTTGTGGAGAGAAAAAAAGAACCTCAGCTGATCATCTGTACATAAAACTGCAGCTTTAAGCAGCTGAAGCCACCAAAGACTTGAATACTGTTTAAATGGCTGCTTAGTCACTACATATCCCAAGAGGGGGAAAATGGACCTTTTTTTTAAGCTGACCAAACTAAAATTTATTTGTTTAGAGGCTATTTTCTATATTTATTGTTGGGGAGGGCGGGGGAAAAGTCACTTTAAGGACCTCTGCTAAGGAAAAACAAGTGCATTTTTTTGGATGGAATGCAATTTTCTAGAATGGTTCTATGCTGAAGAGTATAATGTATGCCATTAAAGGAGGAAGGGACTGAGAGAGACCAGTATAAATCAGTGAGGCATACTCCTGCAGTTTATTTTTATAAAGCCAACTACCATGACATTTTGTAATTTTTGGTCACGATTTCACCGTTGTTGGTGAAGCAGATTTTTCAATAAATATGTTATCTATATGAAGCAAAGACATTGTGCTAAGTGGCTCTTCTTTCCACTTGCAGTCAAAGAGAGCAAATTGCTGGGTAGAGATTTTCATGTCACCTCTCTTCCCACCACATCTTTGTCCTTACCAGCGGTATCCAAAGTTGCAGACTTTCTTTTGGAGCACTAATTGGGCAGTCATACACACAGTGCTTGCTCTGAGAACTCTTGCACAGAGTTCTGGAAACCTTCAAAACTCTGCAGCACATGATAAGGAGAGAGCTCTTGAAGAGCTGTATAGAAAACTGTCATAGGAATGGCACCTAGCAGCACTATGTGGTGTCACTGTCACAGAGATGAAAACCCAGTCTCCTTTGGTTTGTCCTGCATGAAAGCCTGTGAATTGTCACTGGCTTAAATAAGGATGCAGACACAAGTTTCCCCTGTCCGTGCAGTGCCATTTAATGTTGCCATAATTGAAATAGCTTCTCTCTTTCCTAGTGAAGCTGAGCTTCTCCCTGCCAGCTGCTTTCATCATTGCTCCAGGTGAGCACCTTTTCCTAGGAGCCAGGAGCTGGTGGATGCCTTATTTGTGAAAGGAATGGCAGCCTGGGCAGGTAAGCAGTGTGCACTGGTGAACTGTCCTGGGTGAGTTCATGGGCAGCTCTGGGCATGGCTGGAGAGGAGGAGGCAGGGACAGCTCTGCTGGGCAGTCTGGCTGCCCCCATCCTCTTGGGGCTTACCAGCAGGGATGGGGTGGGCTGTGGGAAGTGCACTGCAGGAGAGGACTTTGCTCCATGTAGTCATGGAGCCATGGATAGGGTTTGTGAGTGTCCTGCAAAAAAGATTGGGCAAACCAATTTTCCCTAACTTGAAGAGTGATTGCCTTTTTCCAGCATTTCTCTTCTGGAGGATGCACTGGGAAAGGCAACATTCTGTTGCCATGGCAGAGAAGGCACTGAGCTTTTTCTTTGGAGATGTTAGTGGAAGCATGTCAGGGCTGAGAAGATGGTCCCAAGTCTGGGCTTGTGCCATCCCAGTGGGGCTGGAGCCTCTTGTTTCTTCCTTTCTGAACACAGATCCATAATGATAGGGAGAGGGTTTTCAGCATCTCAGCTGTAACGTATGGGTGAGGACCATCACAGGACCAGCCAGCAGCGGCTGTGCAGCTTTTCCAGGTTGTAAAAAATCAATCAGTAAAGGTATGAAATCTCAGGGGCAAACCCTCAGAAGGGATTGCAGGTAGCAAAGCATAATTGTGATCAGTGTTTTTATTTGTATGAAACAAGGACTGTCCATTTGCATTTTTGTACCTTTTACAATCTTCAAAGATAATAAAAATGGAAAACATTAACAGCCTTTTTTCCACCTGCCATGCAGACCCAGCAGCAGGTAAAGCTGCCAACCCACAGGGACCCTCACGCTATGACTTGCAGCCCAGGGGCTGGTGCACCCAGATAAATGAGAAAGGGAAGAAATTATAAGGGAGGGAGCCCAGAGTCACTGAGCAAAGAAGCTGTCTGGAGCTGTTGTGTTGGTGTGGGAGAGGAGCTACGCCTCTCTGGTTTGAGCTGCACCTCTTCCATCAGAGGGAGACTGGAAAGCTTCGGTGCCACTTCTCAGGTCGGTGCTAATGAGGAGACTTGCTCCTCATCACAGCACTAATGAGAGATTAGAGCTCCACTGCAGCCTTGAAACCAGAATCAAGCTGTATCAAAGCACCAGTCCGAATTAACAGCCTTTCCCAGTGGCTGGTATTTTACAGCCCAGTGGCCAATTTCTAAGTCGCAGAGGCCAATTATTTCCGAAGCCTTTGGTGTGCAGCTAATGAAGGCTTGGAAGGACCCTTCTAAGTGTTTATAAGCCCTGTAGGCGGCAGAGATGTAATGGAGGTGGCAGGCACAATTAGCCATCCATAATTCCTCCTAGCAGCTGATTAAAGTCTCTTTATCCGTCTTACTAAGATCAGAAGGGCACATGTTTGGGAAATCAAAAATGCATTAGGGGCTGTCAGCCAATGCCAGGGCCTTGGCTGAGCCTGGGGCAGGGGCATGTGGCAGGAAAGAGTGGCACAGAGCTGCTGTGTGTCCCCCGTGTTGGGAATGGGCCCCTCATTCCTGTGGGGTGCAGTCTCCTCTGTGCAGGTCCTCTGCAGCATCAGTCACCCCATCCTGGTATCCTGGCATCCCTCTGCCTGTGTGGAGCAAGGAGTGGGATGGGATGGTTTGTCTCCAAAGTCTCCCAGTGCAGGAAAGCACGAGTGGGCTTTTAGCTGCTTTGGAGACACGCAGGGGTGCCGGCCTCATCCTGCACCCAACGAGTTATGAGGGGTGGGAGCTGCAGCCGCCTTCCTTCACCCTTCCTGGGGCACTCCGTAATGCCCCTTGGCGGCACTTTCATGCCTGGGTGAACAGAGCAGGATGAGGGTGGCCTCAGTCCGCCCAGCGCTGTGGTGCTAATTTCGGGGATGGTGAGAGCACGGGCCCGGTGCTGGGAGCTGGAGGGGCGCTCTGAGGGCCGGGGGCGCCCGCGGGGCTGTGAGCAGCACGGGGCTGTCCGTGTGTGAGCTCCTTTCAGGGCTTCCCACGGCCAACTCCCCCCGGCGCCCCCTCCCCACGGCCCGCGGGGGCGGGGGGTCCGCGCAGCCCCGCTCTGCCCGCGCCGCCCCCGGGGCCCTGCGGCGGCGCCCGGCCACAGCCCTGCCGGCATGGAGCGGGCGGCGGGCGAGGCCCGGCCCCTGCTGCCGGCGGCGGGGCGCTCCGCCGCGCCCTCCTCGCCCGGGCTCTCCTCCGCCGGCGCCGTCTTCATCCTGCTCAAGTCTGCGCTGGGCGCGGGGCTGCTGAGCTTCCCCTGGGCCTTCGGCAGGGCCGGCGGGGCCGTTCCCGCCCTCCTGGTGGAGCTGGTAAGGGCGGACTCGGGGCGGGGGACGCGGGGCGAGGGGCTGCGGCAGCCCAGAGGAGCCGAGGGGCGCGGGGCCGGGCAGGAGCGGAGGGAGGGGACGCACCTGCTCCGGTGCTCGGGGAGATGACAGGCACCCCCTCCGTACGGCACCCCCGTGCCGACCCCCGACACATCCCCTCAGGCTGGTGCTGCCGTGCCTCCTGAGGGATGCTCCTTGCAGCTGAACCCACACTTGTAGCTCAACTCAAAGTAAACGGGTGTCTGCTCCCGTACATGCCCCCAAACCCGAAGTACCACATAAGGATGTATCTCCATCCTTTTGCTGACCTTTTGCCCAGGCCCACAGGGTGATCTGGCCGGTAACCTGGTCCCTGTCCGTGGGCCTGCTGTGTCCTGTCCTGCCCTGGGGGTGACGGAGGGCGGCGCGGTGCCTTTGCTGGCTGTGTCCCCGCAGGGCTCGCTGGTGTTCCTGGTGAGCGGGCTGGCGGTGCTGGGCTATGCCGCGGCCCTCAGCGCCCAGCCCACCTACCAGGGCGTGGTGCGGGCCGTGTGCGGCGCGGCCCTGGGCAAGCTCTGCGAGGTCTGCTTCCTCCTCAACCTCTTCATGATCTCCGTGGCCCTCCTCAGGGTGGTGGGCGACCAGCTGGAGAAACGTGAGTTGTTTCCCCTCGCTGTGTTTGGGGCTTGCTTAAGGCCGGCAGCTCTCAGGATGAGGGGAAGGTGCTTGCACGTGGGTTGGGGTCACCCCCAGGGTTTTCCTGGAAATTCTGGGCTCCCTGGTTCTGCCATGGTGTGATGCTCCCGACCTCCTTGGGCCATCTTTCAGGGTGGAGCTGACCCCCCACTGCCCCCCACAGTGTGTGACTCCCTGTACCCCAACGGGACACTGAGTGGGACTCCTCAGCTGCCCCCCTGGTACGTGGACCAGCGCTTCACCCTCTCAGCTCTCTGTGTCCTCGTCATCTTCCCACTCTCTGTCCCCAAGGAGATTGGCTTCCAGAAGTACTCCAGGTACTGGGCTATCCCTGTGCTGGCCCACCCCTAGGCACCCCAGGTTATCTCCTTCCAGGAACCTGTGGGGCCGTGGGAACCCCCCTACTCCCTTCCTCCTGGCTGTGTGCTGATGCTCTCCCATGCCCTGACAGCATCCTGGGCACGCTGGCTGCCTGCTACCTCACTCTGGTCGTCATCCTGAAATACTACCTGCAGGCAGAGAGCCTGCGTTTGACTGAGCCGCCCCAGCCCTCCAGGTAGGAGGGGCAGCCCCAGGTCCCTCCTGCCCTGAACGCCATGGCCTAAGCAGAGACATGGGGGCAGGGCTGGAGGTGGGGCAGGGGTGGCACTGGGCCCTGTGTGTGGTGGGGGTGAGCTGGGTACAACTCACAGTGGGTGGTAGCTCCCAGCCCCAGCTTTCACCCCTTTCTCCCAGAATCACTGGGAAGGAGATTCCCACAGGGTGCCCTCCAGGCAGCACAGTTTATGGCATGAAGGTTTCTTCTCCATGAGAGCCTCATGCCCTCTGCTCTGTGCTTCCTCTCCACATGCCACAGGTCCTCGTCCTGGACCTCTATCTTCAGTGTCATTCCCACCATCTGCTTTGGCTTCCAGGTAGGTCACCCTGGCCCCTCTGGCTGCAGCTGCCAGGGCACTGCTGGCAGGTCTGGTGCCCCAGACCATGGGCATGCTGTCCCTTGAAGGGCAGGTTGCAGGAAAGGGGACCCGTGGCTGTCACCAGAGGTGCTGTGGGGCCTGGGAATGAGGCAGAGTGGGACAGGGCACCCATAGGTGGGAGAGAGGATGCTGGGGGTGGGGGCTGTCCCTGCATGGGGCCCCAGCACCATCCCCCTTGCCTTGCAGTGCCACGAGGCATGTGTGGCCATCTACAGCAGCATGCGCAACCAGAGCTTCTCCCACTGGGTCACCGTCTCTGTGCTCTCCATGCTCATTTGCCTGCTCATCTACTCCCTCACTGGTAACCCCAGCACCAACCCTTCACTCCTCCTTGCCCCGGGGGTCCCCTCTCCCCTTGGCTCATCCATCCTCCTCAGAATTCCTCTGTCCTGCTCACTGCACAGCCGCCCACCCCCACCTCCCTGTCAGCAGGGCTCTATGGCTACCTGACCTTTGGCGAGGCCGTGGCGTCCGATGTCCTGATGTCCTACCCAGGGAATGACCCGCTTGTCATCGTCGCTCGCCTGCTCTTTGGCGTCTCCATTGTCACCATTTACCCCATTGTGGTGCTGCTGGGCAGGTGAGGGGAGTGGTGACAAGCCGGGTGTCCCCCGAGCTGGTGCAGCTCCCCTGGGTGCCATCAGCCCCCGCAATCCTCCCTCCCAGGTCCGTGGTGAAGGACTTGTGGGCAGCCCCGAAGCGCGGGGCCGTGGCGGTGTCTGGGGCACACGAGCGGCGGAGCCGGGTGGCACTGACGGTCACCTGGATGGCTGCCACGCTGGGCATCGCCCTCTTCGTCCCCGACATCGGCAAAGTCATCGAGCTCATCGGGGGCATCAGCGCCTTCTTCATCTTCATCTTCCCAGGCAAGGGCAGGCACGGGGAGGGAGGAACGCAGTGCGGGGACACTGGTGCCAGGGGCATTGCTGCAGGGGAAAGTGGCCTGTCCTGGCCCCGCTTTGGGGGTGCAGGGCTGACAATGCAGTGAGGCTGGGTGAGGGGTGCTGTGCTGGGGCTGAGCTTCTGCGCTGACAGCAGGGCTGTGCCTCGTGTGTGTGACCGGGACCCGCAGCCTTGGGCCACGCAAAAGGTGAGTGTCTGCGTGCTCAGCGGTGGTGGGGACAAGGGAGAGGACAGGGCCAGGGTGAGGTGTCCTATGGGCCGTGGCTAGGGCAGATTCCTGGGGATCTGGTCAAGGTGGGAACCCTGCAAGGAGGGGAATTTGGGTGCCCCGAAGTGCTCTGTGGGGCTGTGCCTGGGAATGGTCCCTGTGTACCAGGGCTGTGTCCAGGCATCAAGGAGGTGCCCAGAGTGACTTTAGGGGCAGAAGAGCTGTGGGGTTTGGTGGCACTGGGGCACCTGGTGGGAACTGGGGTGGGGTCAGGTTGGGGGTCAGAGGGACAGGGTGCCCCAAGACAGGAGGCCATCAGGTGTTTGGTGTCTGTTGTGCCGGGGAGGTGTGTCCCCATCACCACTCCTGGCTGGAGGGGCTGGGGCACAGCACCACCCATGTCAGGGGAGCTGACATGGTGCTGGTGAGTTTGGGATAAGTGTGTGCTTCAGCCTGTCTGTGGTGCCCCTGGAGGAGCAGCGGAGTTTGAGGGAGGATGGCGATTATGAGGTGGGTGGAGGCAGCACCCCAGGACATTGGGGTCTTGGTCAGGAGGGTGCTCTGGGGACCAGTGAACATCTGGGGAGGGGTGAGGGTGTCCCAAAGGGTGCCAAATGCTGGAGGGGCCAAGGCAGAAAGTCAGCAGGGACACCCAGGTGGGTGACAAAGGCTTGGAGAGGTCCCTTGGGGAGACCTGCCCGAGCATCAGCCCATCATGAGAAGGGATGACATGAGCTGGGGCGATGGAGACTGCGAGGGGACAGTCCCAGCCTGCCCGGGACAGTCTGGGAAGGAGCACGGTGCTGAGGACCCTGTGGCAGAGCAGCAGCAGGGTTTGGGGTGAGTGCTGCATCCCGGGGGCTTAGTCTGGGGCGAGGTGGGCTGTGTGCCTGGGGAGGAGGGAACAGGGAGCTGCAGACCCAGGGCTCTGGGGATTGGGGCTGGAGCTGGGGAGGGGACAGGGCTGGAAGCATGTGGGGACAGGATGGAGCTGGGCTGTGTGGGAGTGGCTGTGCCCGAGCACGTGGGGGAGATGTGGCTCTCAGCTCCATCAGCAGGGACACTGGGCACAGACAGAACTGGGAATGATGGCATGGTGGCATCTGCTGGCTTTTTGACCAAGGTTTGTGTGTCATTGCAGTGGACAGGGGGGCTGCTGGGCTTTCTGCCATCGACTGGGAGCAAGGCAGAGGAGCAGGGCAGAGGAGACCCTGCAGAGTCAGAGGAGCTGGGGTACAGGGGTGGCCCGTAAGCGAGGCCAGCTCTACCCCGGCAGCCTCTGCTCGTGTCGCTGCAGGGCTGCTCTCATCGCCTGGGGCGTTGTCTCCGTTCTCGGCGGTGCCTTTGTGTGCGGGCAGAGCGCTGCCCTGGCCGTGCTGGGGCTGCTGCGCTGGGGGAGCACAGAGCCCAGCGTGACCCCACCGTGAGCCCCAGCGTCCTGCCCCCGACAGAAAACAGCCACACACCGGATCCCATGGCGGTTTTATTTGGCATCACCGTCCCCGTTGTACAGTGGCTAATAAACACAGGAGAGGGTACTGGCAAAGGTCCTGTGCCACACACCCTGAGGGACCCCCACGCACGGCAGGGTGGGTGTGGGATTGGCACAGACAGACAGACACACAGACAAAGTACAGACCCCAGGAAGGAGGGGAGGCAGCCACCCTCACGCCTACAAGGCACCAGCTGCAACTGTGCACATGCAAAGGAAACCCCTGGGGACACCCCACAGCTGGAAAGGACTAAGGGGCACCTTGGGAGAAGGGAAACCCCCCTCTGCCACCACCCTGACTCCCCCTGGGGCACGAGTCCCCATCCCTGCAGGCACACACACACATCCACAGCAGGCACAGCCTCAACCCCCATCTCCTCCCGGGGTGGCCCCTGGGGACCTGCACAGAACCCGACCTACTCCCTGCTTTCAGGGGGGGCTCCAGCCTCCCACCTCCCACTCCCATCCCTCCTTCCTTGTGCCTGCCTGCCTGCACCCGTTGCCCCCCTCCCCCTGCCTACCTATGTCTGGGGGATGTCCCCCTCCCCAAACCCTGACAGGGATGTCCCCCTGACCCCAAACCCAAGCCCCTCCCTGGCAGTCCTTGTTTCCCCCGAGACCACCCCACAGCAGGGAGAGATGCCCCAGGTGATGGGGTAGCTGAGGGAGGACTCTCTGGGGTGGGGACACACAGGTGGGAGTTTCCTTCACTGCAGCCAGGTCACACCGACACCTGCCCCGGGCACAGGGGACAGGTGCTGGCGGGCTCCTGGCACTGTCACTCTCGGCTCAGGGTGCACCAGGCAGCTGCAGGGGAACAGCACTGGAGGGTGACACCTGCCCAGCCCCACGTCACCCTGAACCCCAGCCCAGCCAGCTCAGCCCGTGCTGTCCTTCACACCATGCCACCTGCCCCCCCTCGCTCCCCAACAAGTGGAGAGGTGCTGGCTGTCCCGGGCTCCCTGTCCCCCACCCTCGGGGGTGGCTGCCTTCCTACCTGGCACGGCCACGCTGGAGATGGCCTCAGGCTGGCTGAGCGTGTCCACCTTGACGTGCTGGAAGCTCTTGCAGGTGGCACTCTGCAGGTGCCTGTGCCCAGGTGGGAGAGAGTGGGTGACACCCAGCCCCCCCAGAAACACCATCCCAGCCCCCCACAGCACCAAGGGCTCTGGCAGGGCTGGGTGCCAGCAATCCTGCTCACTTCCCCTTGTGCAGAGCACCCTGCTTGGTTCAGGACAATGACCCCTCTCATCGCCACATCCAAAGGCACTCCCAGAGAGACCCACCCCAACCCCCTGTCCCATTTACAGGGACAGCCCTAGGACAGACAGACAGACAGCTCCTCAGTCCTGCCGTCAGACAGGGGACAGAGCTTGGGGCTCAGCTGCTCTAAAACCCCTCCACACCCAAGCATCCCACAATGGGCTTGTTCATCCCCTCCCCTACCTCTTCCAGTCCTCCTCGGTCTCCCAGAACTCATAGACGATGAAGGTGACCCCATCAGGCAGCTTCACTGCAGTGACGCTGGCAGAAACAGGGAGGGGGGGTGAGCCCCCAGCATGGGGCATCCCTCCCCGCTCTGTGCCCACAGGTGTGCTCTCGGGTGGGCTATCGAGGGGGGACCCAGCCCCAGCAGCCCAGGTAGGGGTAGCCCCCTCCCCCCAATCCCAGCACTCCCCAGCCCACACAAAAGCAGTGTTGGTGGCTGAGTGTGGCTACATCCCAAATCCTGGCTGCTTTGCCTCAGTCCTTCCCTTGGTCCCCAGCCCAGCCCATGCCAAGCCCCATCTCCCAGCCCCTGGTGGGCAGCTGCTGGTGGTACCCACTGGAAGCAGTCCCGCTCCCCGGCCACGCTCTTCAGGTACTGCTTCAGGGAGCTGCAGAACTCGCCCAGGTGCTTGTGTGACACTGTCATCTCATTCCTCACCAGGAGCAGGTACTGCCGGGCCCCAAGCACAGCACGTGAGACCCACAGAAACACAGAGAGCCCCCAGGTGTGGCTCTGTGCTGCAGGGGCACCCCAGCACCCACGGGGGGTGTCGGGCACACTCACCGTGCAGGCCGTGCTCTCGCTGTCCGACAGCCGCTGCTGCAGGTCAAACCACAGCGTCTGGGAGAAGGGCAACAAGCAGCAGAGGTGGATTGGCTGAAGCTGTGTGTCCCTCCCTGCTTGGTGGATTTCTGTTCCCAGAATTTGCAATGACTGTGCCCCCTTCTCCACAGGGAACGGGCTCCAAGAGCTGCTTGCACCTCCAGTCAGGACCATTCACAAAAGTTCCCTCTGCTCCCATTGCAGCCAACATCCCCAGCACATCATCCTCATCCCTGCCCCAAAACAGCTGGGGCAAGGTCCCTGAATTGTCCCTGGGATGGCAGGACAGTCCCACGCAGGGAAACACGGCCCTTACCTTGTCCTCCAGCTTGCCAATCAGCTTGGCCAGCCTGTTGATCTGCCCCTCCAGCCCCTCTGCCTTGGTGTCAGGGGAACCTGCGCAGAGCCGGGAGACAGTGATGGAGTGAGGGGCACCTGCAGGCACCCCCTGAGAGCCCTGTGCTGCTGCTGGGACGTGAGTGCTCCAAGCCACCCCAGGCAGCCAGCACTTACCAGCCTGGACGCTCTTTCCTTGCTCCCTGGGGACCATCCAGGTGGTGGGAGAGTAGCTGGGGACAGGGTTGTCATACCAGGCGTCACTCAGGCCGTGAGCATCCTTGCTGGGGCAGTGTCTGCAACCAGAGAGCACACAGAGAGTCAGGACAGCAGAGCTGGGCACACATAGAGTGGCATGAGCCACACTGGAGCATCCTTTCTGGCAGCTCTGCCCATGATGCCAGACCCCTTGGAGGGGGTCAGAAACAAAGGAATGTCAGTGGGCTGCTCCCAACAGCCATCACTTTTCTTTCCTGCTTATGGAACAACACAGCCCTCCTGGCACCACCAGCAGCCTTCAGGGCCCTTTTCTGTCCTAGACAGACACCTGCAACATGGGGCATTCAGACCCCTGTGCCCAGCCAGCTGCACCTTTCTGGGGCTGGTTTTGCAGCCCAATGGCTTTGGTGGCTTTCAGACAGAAAAGCTGCTGCCACCCAGACACCCCATGCCCAAATGGATGCCCATGAGCAGAGGCTGTGTATCCCACTGAGAGACTGCAGCTGCAGTTCTCCTGGAGAATGGAAACATCCACTCTAGCATTGCCTCCAACATGCTTTCTTGGTCTGGATGTTGCTCAAAGACCCAAAAAACTGTCCTGAAACACTTCCACAGAAGGAGCATCCATGATCACTACCCAGCACCAGGTCCTCAGTGGTCCTCCCAGGACCTCGTTGATTTGCAAGCCAGAGAGAATCAGAGATCTGCCATCCTCACAAGGGCTTGCAGCTGCCATCCATGTGAGTGACATGGGAATGAGTTGAGGAAGAATGACCCTCTCCTTTCTTCTCCACTGACAGAAAGCCTGTGCCACGGAGGGAGAGGCTGAGCAGCTCAAAGGATTTCCAGTGTTTCCTTCCAGCAAAAGCAGCTCTGTGCCAGCTGACTGCTGACAGAGGTGCCTGGGAGCCCTGGCTCCTCTTGGCATCTTTTGTTAGTCCAGCAGCTCCCAGCTGGAGACAATAAACTGAGTGCCCTGCAGCCAATGGGCACCACACCAGCCAGCATCTCCCTGCCTCCCCTGGCACCTGGCTCCTCCTAAGCATAATTCCTGGGTTCTCTTTCCCCAGCTACCTTGTAAATCAGCCAGTGTGGGCTCCACCATATACACAGGGACATGGTGTGCAGGTCCCAAAGAACATCTCAAAGATAAGGAAGCAAGAACAACAATAAAGGGTGCAGGAGCATCCCTTTGCTACAAGCTGTGCAATGATACCACTGCTGCTCCTGGATTATCCCCTGTCAATAGACAGGAAATTAGGCAAAAACAGACAGAGATTTATTTTAATCAAAATTTAATGAGGTGTCTCCATCTTGGACCTCTGCCTTTGCACTTTGTTCTACAGCCCTTTATTTTCGTGCTTTTTAGGCCACCTCTTTGTCTTCATGCGGATGCAGGAGATAATTTTTTTTGTGGGATTTGTTTTTCTTTTTAGCTATTATCTTCATAAGAAAACAACTACAATACTCCCCATTATGATCTGGGCCCACACATCAGCAAATAAAAGCCAGCAAAGTCTTTCATGGGCTCTAATTGCTCCGTCTGATGCTGGGTTTGTTTCCTTTTCATTGTTTTGCAGGAGCTCCTACTTCTTTTTGTACAAGGTTTGCCACAAAACAAAGAGAAGAAAGAGATGTGAGATGATGAAACCCACAGCATTCCTGCTGGAAAAGCTGCTGGGATGGTGGCAGAGCTGCTCAGGTCTCGCTGTGTTCCACAGTCTGTCTTAGGAGGGAGCTGGAATTTTCACTCTCCTTGTGCACCTCTGCCTGCCCATGGCTTTGGGAAGCCAAAACATCCCCATGCAAGCATCCTGAGACCTCCTGGTTTGAAGGAACAGCAGGAGAAGGGTTGGTCTGACAAACAGATGGGTTTCCATGGCAACCTGTCCTGGTTAGAGCTGGTGACGGTGGCACTCTGGGGAGCTGCGTGACACTGACACCGAGGGGGCTGTGCTGAGGCTCTGCCTCTGCTGCTGGGATCTCCTTACAGCCCAGCCCTGGCAGCACTCGGGACATCTTGAGGCGCTCTCCTCTGTGCTGCCCAAGCTCAGGGGCGTTGGCACTGGGCTGCTGGCATGGGGACAGCCCTCACGACACCAGGGACAGCACTGCCTGTCCTCAGTGCACAGGTGCCTTTTCCCTCCGGATGGTTACTGGCACGGGAATCTGTCCCTGTGGGCTGTCCCCAGCTCACCTGAGGCAGGTGCCCGTGTTTTGCCCGGGGTGGGAGCAGTGGTTTGCTCAGAGCTGCAGCCCCGTGCACCCAGCGCTGCCCAGCCCGGTGCCAGGTGCTGCCCCTGGTTTGCATCCCCACACACTGTTCTCTTGTTAAGGGTGATGCTGGGGACTGCAGGAGAGAAAGGGACAGGGCAGGACAGAGTGGTTCTCAGAGTTCAGGAAGCTGGGAAGGGAAGCAAAGGCCCAGCTCCCCTTTGCTGCTGCACAATGTCTGCTGCGATTCCCTCACCCACAAAAGCATCTTCCTCCTCCTCCCTCTCCACCCTCCTGCACCAGAGGAGGGCAGGCATGCTGCAGACCTGGTGGGGTTGGTTTGCTCGTCGATGGCATCCACAGCACTCTCCACAGAGCTCAGCAGTGACTGGGTCTGGTTGGCCGTCTCCTTCAGCAGGAAGCGGGTCACGAACTGGTCCACGTTGCTGCCGCTCTCGTACACCTGCAGAGGCACACGGGGAGCAGGGTGAGCGCCAGTGCAGCACCTGCAGCACCACCAGGGTCCCTGGCCAGTGCAGCACCTGGCCAGCATCCCTCCCTGGTCCCCTCCCACATCCCCACGATGTAAAGAGGTGTTCTCCAAAGCCTGTAGTATTGGAGCTTAGCATGATCTTAAATGACTTTACTGTTGCCTTGCAGCCAGTGGGTGCAGGCATGAAAAGTGTGTCCTCTGCTTTGGAGATCCCTGCTTGGAGAGTTCAGCATGTTATACAGTGCCCTAGTCCACAACAGTATGGCCAGCCCAGCACTCATGTTAAAGGGGTTTGGGATGATTCACAGGGCTCAATGTGTTTGACTGACAGAACCTCCCAGGGAAATACAAACTTTTTCAAGACAAAGAACACCTAAAAATATTTTAATAGAACAACTGATCTGCATGAAGCACCTGGGGCCCCTTTCCCAGCACAGCCTTGCTGAGCCCTGCCCAAGGCACAGTCCTGCTCCCGACAGTCACCAGCACAGGTGGGACACTGGCACAGCCAGAGGGACACTGGCACAGACTGTCCAACACTGACCCAACCAATCCAGCACTGGTTCAACACCACTCCAACCAGTTCAACACCAGCCCAACCAGCCCAGTGGCCACTGACCTCACCAGCTCTGGCTGAAGCCAACCATTCAGCATCAGAGCTGAAAACATTTGCAGTGAAAAAAAGGCTCCCTGAAACCCAGGCTCAACAGAACCTCTTTTTCTCAGACTCTTTCCCACCCATCAGTGCCTGCTGGGACAGCACACTGCCCAGGCAAAGCCCTGTGGGCAGTCTGTCCCTGTGTGCTCACACCTCCCAGCATGGGACTCCTCTGGGAGGAATGAATGAATTTTTGGAGCCATGAGACAGGGATGGATGCTCCTGGCTCCCTGCATTCCATCAGCAATGACCACGCTCATGGGACTGGAGTGGTCCCAGCACCACTGGTTATCTGAGCATGCAGCAGTGCAGCATGAGCACCCCACGCTCCCCAAAGCAAATTATTCCTGTTTTATGGTGAAGCTATTAACAAGGGTTATTTCCATGGCAACTGGAGCAGCTCTGCGAGAACCCAGAGGGCCTTTATCTGTGCCTTTATCTCCTGTATTAAATCATAAAACAAGAATGAGCTGATGGAAAAACCCTTTGGGGGAACTGCTCACAGAGCTGATTCCTCACCCCTGGTTTGGTGTGGAAGCCTTAGTTTCTTGACGGCTTCTTCAGCATCCAATTAGCAGCAGTTAATGACTTCTGTCTAACACAAGAAAACCTGCCCATAGCCCCAGTGTTTCTGGGGGATATGCACCACATGGTGATCCTCAGGAAATAGTGGTGCACGATGAGGTGATGGTGATGCTGAAGCTGTGAGAGGATGTGTAGCTAAATGGTGGATTTTTTAACCACAGCCTATAATCTTGGTTCAGCTTTAGGAAAAATCAAACAGGTGATTCCCACATTTGTTGAATTTGTTGAAACGCCCTACATGCAGATTGGATGGATGGATGGATGGATGGATGGATGGATGGATGGATGGATGGGTGGATGGAGGGTACAAAGGTATTCCAGCCAGCACAGAGAAAACTGGGGTGTTTGTGAAGATTTGATGCTTTTTGGCAGGCCAGTAAGCCAAATAGATCTGAAATCAAAGCAACAGGGATTTTTTTTTTCTCCCACTCAACTAACTGGCCATTTGCCAGCCCAGCTGTGACATTTGCTCTCAGGAGCTGAATCAGAAATACACATGCTTAGAGGTTTTTCCAGCAATCCTTCAGGTTCTCCTCTAGCACGTGTCTTCTTCAGGGCTGCAAAAACAAACCATTAAACAGACCAGCTATAAAGGAATCCTTCCCATTGTCTTACTAAAACATTTGTCAGACTATCCTAGTGAGATTTAATGAGGTTTAGTCTTATTAATTCCACCCTGAAGAGTTACTTCCTCCTTGCTTAGCTTGAGAAGTTAAAATATTTATGGAGATCATGTAATAATTGCTGCTCAATGAAGCTGCTTTGTGCCAGAAACTCTTGCACATCTCCAAGGCTGCTCTTTCCCATCCATCATTTCCAGACAAGCTCTTTGCTGAACTGCCTGGCCTTGACCTCTGCTGCTGCAAACAGGGGGCTGTGAGTGTTTGCAATGAGCAGCAAGTGTGAAAACATCATTGAAAGCATGGCCTTGAGATTTCTGTGCTGATGGCTCTCAGGAGGGCCTCGGACAGCGTCATGATCTGACAAAACAGAGACCTTCAAAAATGAGAGAGGGGTGGGAAAAGGACAGCGTGCATTATTGGGGAAACATCACCCAGGGCTGGGTCTCTGGTCAGCTGGCTGAGGTCCAAACCCCAAATCCACCCTCCTCCTCCACATCACAGGCTGTTCATGTGTCTGTAAAGCACCTTCCCACACACACTGGCAGCCAACACAGGGGCACAGTCTGCTCAAAGCCCCACCACAGCTCTTCCAGCTTTTCATTTCCACAGGAACCCACCCAAAATTGCCCAAATTCTGGCACAGATTAATGACAACACCCCTGGGATGTGTTACTTGTGCAAAGCATAACTGGGATTGTGATGCTGTTGAGTGCTTGGATTTGCCAACCCGTGCCAAGTTTCCCTCACCCAACACTGCAAATGGATGCTTAAAAATGGGCTCTCATGGCCATGTCCTTGTGGGTACCAAATACTGGGGAATGAGAGTTTTTATGTTATTGAACATCTCAAAGCTTCTTTGCTGGCATTTTTAAAGGTCACTATTCAGCTCATTAAGACTACAGGATGTAAAATATAGATTATTTTGTACCACCCACGAACTCGGAGACCCACTGTGACCTCCCCACATCTTCCCTTTGCCTCACAGGGTTACAGCCTGACCAACAAGGCTTCCCAGGGCTGGCTTCCAGCAGGACTGGCCAAATTGGCTGACAATTACCACGCCTGGGGACACTGATGACTTCTCCAACTGTTAATAACTGCAGTCCAAGCACACCCACAGAGTGATGCTGCCGAAATGAGAAGGCTTTTCAGTTGGAAACCAAAGGCAACTCTGTTTCACCCACACTTTTCCTCCAGTTAAAAAAGCAAAACCCAACAACAAACCTATTGCCATGCCATGTAACACCCATCAAGCCTCATCCCAGGATGATGGGGAGGTTATCTTCCACCCACCCAGCCCTTTAAAAACCAGGCATGTGTTGCACTGTAATCTCTGAGTGGCTGATTTAAATTCGTTGCTCATAATTGCCTGTTTGCTTCCAAGAGATATTTTCTTATAATTAAAATAACACTCAGACCTGCCTCTTTCTCCTCTCCCTCCCCCTACTTTTTAAATCCCTTCCAAAGCAGAGACCCAAAACTGATTGCCTGGCACATAATCAGTAGGAGAAACCTGAAGAGAACAGGCATTTAAATAGTTGATAAATGAAAGCATTACCATATGAAAGACCCTCAGCCTTCCCGAAACAGCTCTAAAAAACCAAATGAGACACCTGTTCAGATTTAAAACATGACAACAGCATCATATGGATTTGAAAAGTTTTTGCTATAAAATCCTCCTTCTGCAAATTTTAATGTTGGACTCTTCTCATCTCATTCTTACCTTGTCTGGTCCTGAAGGTTTCCTGCTCTGGACCTTTCCCAAGCAATTTATCACAGGACTTCTCCATTCTCACTGTCAGAGAAGCTCCCTGCTGCACTGGGACCCATCATTTCTCGTGCAGCCCAGGGATGTGAAGGGCAGGTGTCTGCTGGCCCACACAGAGGCTGTGCTGCACCCTGATCCCAGGGTCACCTGTGGATCCAGAGGCTGCTTTGCACCCTCACCCAGCAGGCTCAGAACTGGCTTGGAAGTGTGGCCTCCTACTTCCCAACACCCTGGCTATAAATCATCCTTTTGCTCACACATGCTCCTAATTAGCTTTATTTAGTACCCACAAGGCAGCAATTTGAGACATATTTTATTTCAGTTTTCCAAGGAAAGTGCAGATTTTGTTTTCCAAACAGGACCTACTCAAAGGACCCTGCAGATGTAGCAGTGTGGGATGGTCAAGCTGCTGGAGGCTCAGCCTGGCTGTGCCACATGCTCACGCTTTGACTTGCTCCCTCCCTTCAAAGCTGCTCTCAGACTATTCGGCAAGACAACAGCACTGACACCTTCACCACACAATTTACCTAAATCCCAGGAGCAACAGACCTAAAATGGGAGGGAAGAGGAGGAAAGCCATGTCCTACAAGAGGTCCATGAGAGCTGGAGCCAGGACAGCACAAGCAAGACCTCCAGAGAAAAAGCTCTTCCTTTTCAGGGAGGATGGAGGGACGTGAACTTTGCAGCAACAGATGAGCAGAAGAGCAGTGAATGAGGATCTTAATCTAAAAACAGGTTCCAAAAGAGACCTTGAGATTCATCTCCCTGCCAGTCCCTGCTCCCCACAGTCTGGCAGCCCAGGTGGATCTCCTGCACAGCCCTGCTGGGCTGGCAAGAGAATCGCTCCGGATGGCACCGCGCGGAGAAGCAGCTTTCTGGTCTGGAGTCTGAACAGAAAAGTTAGGAAAATTCAGTTCTTGCAGAACTGAAGCAGCACATTTTGTTTCAAACTGTGGTGCAATATTATCTTAAATCACCTCCAGAGAAGAGTTGCAAAAATATTTTCTGGGAAGCTAAATGAGCACCTCCTTTCCTTTTAGATTGCTCTTCTACTATGAAGTTCCGTAACTTTTCTGGAGATCAGCATCTGTTTTTTGCTATAGAAATTGACACAGAAATTGTTCAGAAATGTGTCATTCAAAACACACGGAGAGTTGACTCATCCTTTACCATTTCATTGACCCATCACTATGCTTTTCTTTTTTCAGCCACAGCCATGCAGCATGATTACACTTTAACTGCATCTTAGGAGAGTTTCAGACCTGGCTGTGCTGCACTGCAGTGACACCCATGGCCTTCAAACCCAGACCAGGAGTCTTCAGCTGCTCATTTACCCACCTTGAGGCAAGGCCAGAACAGGAGATCTGTGAGAAGCCTTGAGCAGCTCACATTTTCCGGGCTGGGCACAACCCAGAACTGGCACCACTGTGCTGCTGTGCCACCCTGCCACGGGTCCATCCCCTGGCACAGCACAGCCCTGCCCCAGGAACCTGCCACCCTCAGTGTGAGCACCAAGTCCACTCAGCAGGGCAGGAGAAAACCTGCTCAAGTTAAATGAAAGGCTGAGATAAAGGGTTAGCTGGAGGATGGGAGGAAAATGTTCTTTTTGAGGATTATTTCTAGCGACTATTTTATCTCGAGGTGTCATCATTCAAAAAAGAGCAATATCACTTTTGGCAAGCTTAAGTTTGGCAGGTAAGAATGCAAATAAGAGCACTTTATATTGCTGATCTGAGCTGTGCTGTAAAACAAAAAATACCATCCCCCATTTTTAGCATCCAAGACTGCTGGCAGATGGTTCTTGCTCTGGGGCTGTAACTGAGCTGCTCAAATAAGTGCAGTTTGCTGCTGGGGGCTGAAAAGTGGGGGAGACCCGTGGTCAGCCTGGCACCAGCAGCAGGGAGAGGACACCTGCTGCAGCACCTCCACGAGCCCCAGGAGCCCAACATCTGTTCAACTACATCTCAAAAGGCAGAGACAAGAAGGGTGGATTGCTGCAGGAACATTTTAACTCACAAATAACATGCAAACTTATTCACCTGTATGTAGATACCTCTGGGCTCCCTACTGCTACTGGAGCAACAGCAGCTGGTATTGAAGGTCAATGCACTCAGTTTTTTATGGTTTACATATTCTCACATCTAAATAATGAATTTTAAGGGGAAAATGCATTTGCAGCTGCTTTGGGGACAGTGCCAGTCCATAAGGCACATGAGGTGTTTGGCACTCTGACAGGAGAAGGCTCTCAGGGGGTGTGTGTTGTGTCACCACCTGGTCATATTTCCTCTCCAGGTCCATTAAATGAGAGAACTGAGAGACTGGAAGCAGAGCTGTGAGTGAGCAAACAAGGAGTAAAACACTGTCTGTCACATCCCTTTGCTCTGTCTCCAGGACCAAGAGTGATGCTGAACACCAAGCAGCAGCTGGTCCAGGGCCACCCTCAGATCCTCAGGGCTGCTCCATAAACCCTTCCTGCTGTACCCTACTCTTCCCTGAAGCCAGTCTCATTCTGGCATGTGCATGGCCAGTTGCAATTTCAGCTCAAATTTTGGGTAATTTTGCTTTCCAAGCACTCTCCTTCCATCTGGGACAGGGCATGCACCAAGGTCAGTCACCAGTGCTTCTTGGACCTGCCTGCTGCCCAACAGGAGCATCCCCAGGCAAAAATTATTTGACTTTAAATCTGAGCTGTTTCATCCTTGAAAATATTCATCCCTCAGCATTTTTTTTTTTTTTTTATTCTTTGCAGCTTGCTTTTAAAGTTTACCTCCCCACTTAAGGTCAGCTTTGCTGATTCTTCCATGGTCAGTCCTGCAAAATGCTTAATTGGCAGAAGCTGGAAGCAGGAGCAATCCCAGTGCAGCTGACAGTGGCATCTGGACCTGACAGGAACAAGGCTAATTGAGCCTCTCGGGCTCAAAAACCCACACTGTTTTTTTTTACCAAGCTAAGTCCCATTTCCAGGGGCGTCTGGGTGAGGCTGTGCAGTGGTAAGCACCACCTCTGCCACCCCCAGGCACTTCCCCTGTCACCCCCAAAGCTGACAGGGGTGGTGGAACACTGGCTGGGTGCTGTCCCCTAAGGCAGGGGACTCAGTGACCGAGGGCAGGGACAGCACCCCCCTGGCTGTGCTGTCCCAGCTCCCTCCACACCCCTCACACCCCTGACCCTGGCACAATCCACCTCCTCCCCCAGCATGTTAGCTCTGGTCCTTGCTGACTGCACTACACAACAGTACAAGAGACTTATACAGGAACATCTCCTGCTGTCAGCTTTATTTAGAACCCAAAAGTTCATTTCCTGTCTCTCCAATTTAGCTCTGCATTTCCAATTGTCACCGGCAGTCGTTTCCATGCGGCACGGACATCACTGTATTGGAAAATCATTACAATGACAGATTTTGTTTTGCTGTGTGAGACCTTCCACTACTGAATCTAATTACTGCTGATACTTTACGAGCTCCTCCAGCACGAGATAATTGCTGCTTTCTCTTTTTATGAGCAAGAAATAACCAGTTGTCTTTTAAGGTGAGAAATATAAACAGCAATTAAATGCCATGGTTCTCCATGCCCTCTTGTCACCTGGCACCTCTCAGAAACACAACCCAGAAAATGGTTAGGCTCCGTTTATTGTTTGCCCCAAATACATTGTTTGAAGAGGAGGGAATAGGGATGCTCCTAAATGATAGATAGTGCTCTCCAGCTTAGGAAATATGTATTTTATTATGGAGAAGCAGGAGCAGCTCACAAGCAAAGCAGTTTGCTCACAATGCTCAGCATCATCACCCAGCCCTTTGCAGGGTCTGGCCACAAGAAAAGGTGTAGGGACAGCAACAGGCTCGAGCATCAGGGGGCACAAAACCACGCTTAACTCTAGCAAAAATCTGCTGCTTTGGTCAGCTTTCATCTCTTCCAGTGTTTCTAAAAACTAAATGTATGAATCTTTTAAACATCCTGCTACCCCATCAGCATGGGACCCTTGGTTACAGCATCACATGGGGAGAAGATGGAGCAGAAGGAACCTACCCCATCCCTGAAAGTGCCCAGGGCCAGGCTGGATGGGGCTTTGTTCTCCACTGGTCCAGGGGAAGCTGTCCCTGCCCATGGCAAAGTGGTTGAACTTGATGAGGTTTAAATTCCTTCCAAAACAAATGTATCCTGTTTGAACACTGGAGACAGGTTTCTCTACCACCCACAACAGCTTCTTTACTCTTGTTTTTTTTTTTTTTTTTCCCCCTGCTTTTTTACATGAACAAAGTGCCTGCCTTTGAATAATTCATTGATGAGGTTTGTACCACTTTGTTCACAAAATCACAGTGGGGGAACAGAGTTTTTCATTAAATCCTTCCTTGCCAGCTCCTCTCTGTGATGGAGTCTTGCTCTGCTTGTTCTCTTGCCAAAAATCTGCCAGGCAGGAAGAGCAGCACACCCCAGGGGCTGATGAAATGAGGGGTGGGAGGATGCTGGGACAGCACTCCCTCACCTGGCTTGGGAAACTCTGCATTTGGGATGAGGGGTTGTGATCCTTCAGTGTCACAGCAGGAAGGTGCCTCCAGTGCTCCAGATCTCCCTGTTCCTCTCCACAAATTAATGAGGGAGGTGACCAGCTCAGGTTTATGTAAATAGCCTTGACCTGCTGCAATTAAGGCAGGTGAATCCTGCCAGAATTTGCTGAATCAAGGCTGGGAAAGCTGGTGTTCTTATAAATAACCATCCTGCTTCTGCTGCAGGAGTCTCATCCAAGGTAGTACCCAAATGCTTAGATGCCTGATTTATAAGCAGGGAATAGACCATCTTCCTCTTGCAAAGTATTAGGAAGAGTTAGTCATGTATATTCACACCACATTGGAAAAGCAGTGATGGAAGGCATCATGAACAGCAGGCTGGAATGAATTACTAAGATCTCTATTAGCATGTTAACATTTATTTAAAATACATAGTTGGCAAACCTGATGGTCATGAAAATTGCTAATAATGAATATAAATGAGACATGAACAGACACAGATACTTAATCATTAAAAATTGGTGTTGTCCTGATTTTTTTAACCCTTTCATAATGTTGATAAGAAATCACTAACACTTCAGACAGATCAGTGCTTGGCCAAAGACTTTTGCCTTTAATTTATAGTGGCAAGACATCAACATGTTAAATATGTGCCTTCACTTTCCATGCTGCCTTCCTCACAAAAATCTAATGGAAGAATTTTAATCAAGCAAGGAAATCAAGCTCTTTACTCAGTAGCAAGAAGAGAGAGAAATTTGCCATTTCCATTCTAACTCCTGAAACTTCTTATCATTGTCACTTCTTTAATGTGGAGTAATTTGAGTTTCTCTTTTAGCTTCAAAGATAGACGGAAGGGAGATTTTGATGTGGATTGCTTGCAGGAGGGTGTAGCTGGATTGGGAAGTGCTTACAACTGCTTGGAAAAAGCAAAACCTTCCTCCCTGGCTTGGCCCTCAGTGTACTACCTTGCTGCTCACCATTGAAGAGGAAAACTGCTTTTTATTCATCATGGCACAAAACAACAATGCAAATGTGACTGAAGGTGGAAGAGGGAGAAGGGATTGATTATCCTGAGGCAATAAATATCACTGATACAGCCCGGTTGCACTATTAAGTGGTGTGGAAGGACAGGAAAATAATTCCAAAGGAAATAAAGCTCTATAAACACTTCTCTCAGCCTGGAGAGACAACAAATGACTGGTGTTCCTCTCAGCAGGGATGTTTATATGGTACATCAGCTCAGATTTTACAGGTATTCATAAATAAACTTCAATAAGCTTCTTGGTCAGTATCACTGTCTATAGTAGTCCAGGATCATTATCACACGTGATGGATTTTTAAGGACCTAGGGTTACTTTGCACATATAAACCAGGTCATTATGTCTCAGTTGTGGTGCTTGCATGATTCCTCTGCAGTCCTTCAAGCACACAGCTCTCTAGCTTCTAATACAGCAGCTTCACACATGGCAACTGCATTTGGAAAGCAGGGTGCCTTCCAAGGGGGAAGCTGCATTTAAAGGCAGCTCTATAATATGAAGTTTCCAAAAGCCCTCTCAGTGATGCCAGCAACAACTCATGCATTCCAAATCCCACCTGAGAGACCCTGTGCTGTCTGCAGAGCAGGAGGACACAGCCCTGCTGAAGAGGATGAGACCTTTCAGATTTATGTGCTCTGTCAATGCAGCTTTCAGGCTGCTCACTCTGAGCCTGTGAAACGTGAGGTGCAGGAAGCAGCACTCACCCGTTTGGTGTAGTCCATGGCCTTCAGGATGGAGAGGTTCAGCATCTCCAGGGAGGCCAAAACATCCTCATAGTCTCCCATATGGTCAGCAAAATAGTCTGGGAAAACCAAGAGAAGCAGGATGGGAACGTTAATGTAACCTGAGGCTACTTGGCACAGCAAGATCTATTATTGGTGGAAACATAAACCTGAGAGGATGGCTCCAGGGGTATTTTTATACTCTGTGTCCTCAGCCAAAGTCACAATTTGTCCTGCAGGGATGGGAAGTGGTGTGATTCCCATGAAAATTTGGGACCATTGCAGAAAGGAGATGTAAGACCCAGAAGCTCCCATTAAAAATAATTCATCAGGTTCTTTATTTCTGTGCCTACCTCTGCATTTGATTCTTTATGGTCTCTCTCCCTCCTACTGCTGGCATGGAGGAAGGGGTCTCAAAAGAAATCCCCTTTCCATTCCCTTGACATTCTTTGCCACTCAAAGCATCCAAATACTTTCCAATTCACCCCAGTTTATATGAGCTGAGACTGGCCTTACATCTTTCCCAACATTCCTATCACATTTACACCTCAGCCCACAACCACAGGTTGAACAAGCTTTTAAGAGTAAAAAAGGAAGAGAACAGAGCTGCAAGCTGGGCCCAGAATCACGTGTTCTCCACAGAAGGAGGCACACGTCCTCTGTGCCATGCTTGTCCTTTCCCTGCTTCTGGTGGCTGACACAGAGCACAGCAAAAAGCTGTTCCTTAAAAGCCACTGGTGCTGCTCCTCGGCACTGGGACAGGGAGTTTCACACTGAGGTGACATCTCTGTGAAGTGCAGCAAGACAAACTCCAGGAAACAACCCCACTAATTAGGTTTTCTTGGCTTAATTAGAAGTGCCTATAGCTATTTACAGTCTGAGAACATATCCAAAGGGAAGAAGATTTTGGCAGAACCGGAATGTCACAGCATGACTGACAGCAGCTGTTCCGTGATAAGTAAACAGCTTACTCTCATTGCACTGTGTTTGTTTGGCTTTTCCTTCCTACTTGGGAAAGAAAAATTGAGCAGATCTGATAGGAAAAGACTTTTTCTAAGTCCTGAAATAAAAAGCTGGACCCATCCATTTCAGGAGAAATGAGCTGTTGTGGGCACAGCACAGCCCTTGAGACTGACCAAGGAGCACACGGGAGCAGAACAGAGCTGACTTTAACAAGGATTCAACTCTGCTGCTTCATCATTATTTATTCATGTGAAGCTACAGGCTCAAGAAATAACTTTTGAGATGCTCTCAACATTTTATAACACACAAGAGACACACCAATTTAGACAAACTGAGGGTTTATGTTTAATACCTAGAAAAGAAGCAAGCAAATCAACCACAGGCGAGGGCAGGTATTCAGGATAACAGATCTAGGCAGGAGCTTGTGCTGATCAATCCTTTCTCTGGCTTTCCCTAGCTTCCCAGGAGGTGATGGGGTTATCTCCCTTCCCTCCTGGCAGCTTCACCCCTGGGAGAGGCAGTGAGATGGGATCACACTGGGTGACAGCCATGTAATTTCCTGATTTTATCAGAGTGATGGAGAAAGCTGTGAGGGGTTAAACAATGCCATTGTTAACCCAAAGCTGTGGGGGTTTGATTTCCTGGGTCAGCTGGCAGGGAGACCTCATGCAGGAAGAATGGAGGGATGGGAACAAGCCCTTCATATCCTCAGCAGACCAAAAGGGTTTTATGGCACTCTTTGTTTCCTGCCTACCAAAGCAAGGACAAGCAGGAATAACCAGTGGAAAGGGGAGACATTGCTGCTTTTCCTGCCAGCTTGGATGCTCAAAGTGGTGTGGGCAGGGGTTGAGGACACCAGGAGGAGAGAAACCCTGGACAATGTCCTGGTGCAGGCACTCCCGGGGACAGAGAACTCTTTAAGGTGTCAGGAATAAGGAGTTACTGCCTGGTGCTGGCACAGGCACCCAGTAACCCCATCCCTGTCTGCACAACCTGCTCCCAGCCAGAGCTCCAAAGGCTGGAATTAGCTGCAAAGTGGTGAAGGAAAATGGTGAAGACCTGCTGAGGTGGCTTCATATGTTCTTGTGTATCCTGGCACAGGAGGGGAGGAGAAGAGATGGATGAGCTCTCTGCAAGGACACTCACCTCTCTACCCATCTCCTCCCAAAAATCTGGGGTGCAGGAAACACTTCCCAATGTCAAGCATCCATAGAAAAATACACCTGAGTGAGCAGTTTGAGGCACCTCCTAATGAAGCAAAGCCCTTCAGAAATCCCAGCAGGAAACATTCCCTTTCTGGTCAAGGTGTGGGACAAAATATTATCACAGATTTTCTGTTCAGCCTTTAATTTTGGCAAGCTGTGGGAGGTACAGCAGAGGTAGTGCACCCCTGAGGCAGCCTGCTGGGAAACAGGAAGGCTGGCCTAGGGAGAAGCATGTTACAGGTCTTGCAGGGGAAAATGGGTTTATTGAACTTCAGAGCAAAGCTGGAAGCCACAACACCTCCAGAAATTAAACTCCAGCTTGTTATTGAACAGGGTCCGTGTGCTTCGCTTAGCTCTGACCCCATTTGTGCTGCACGAAAATGAAAAAAGTTCTGCCAATTTTCCTGTGGAATAAGGAGCAGAGCAGCAGCAGGGCTGAGGTGCCCCAGCTGCACAGCCCTGCAGACTCTGCTGGGTTTCATGCAACCTTTGAGGGCCTCATGCACACAATGATTGCTGTTGCCCAAAAGGAGGGACTGCACTCACCACACAGCTCCTTGGTGTCCACATTGCTGCAAAGGGGACAACGAGGCAGGGAGGAAGCAGGAAAAAATAAAGAGAGAGAAAGAAAGACAACTTTAGTGACAAGGACAGATGAAGGCTGCAGTTAGAATTCCCACAGGCTTAACTCCTGGTGCCCTCCTGCAACATCACCCACCCCCTGAGCATCCCCCAGCCACCAGTGGGACAGCCTGTGGAGAAGAGCAGGGTTGGTGCACTCAGGGCATCTTCAGCATCTGTGCAGCTGGAACAGGTTCACAAATTATTTTGGATGCTCCCTGAGAGGGAAATGGGTACTTGAACATCCCCCCTGAGGAGGGGGCTTTGCCCTAGGGGGACCCAGCGCCCTGGAACATCAGCTCCTCTGACTTACAAACATCCAGCCTGGCAACATCTTGGTGAGACACTTGGTGTGGCACAGGAACGTGTTTGTTCCCATTTACTCAGAACAAAAATGTGCAAAATATACTTTTCTCAGTGGACCAATTCTCCTAATTCTGCCCTTATCAAGCAGCTCTTGCCCGGGACTGCCTGCAGACACAATGGCACAATTACTCCCTAACACATGAACATTTAGTTTACATAACAACCTCTCAGCAGACAACCTGCTTGGGAAATAAAGATTGCTGCTAATCTCTTTGTGCCGCCTATTCCCACACAATCATTAGTGCCATTCAAGGACTGGAACGATCCCTTAATAGAATTATATCTTATCCATCCATTTATATCCCGGGAAGTTGTTTCTTTACCTAAACCCATCCCTGCTCTGTCTAACCTGCCAGCATCAGTGGATTAGGGCTTTCTCTGCCAGCCCTGCCTTGACACCCAGACCAAGGCAAGCACAGATGCCTGGAGCCCAGGAGGTGCTGCCTGAGCCTCTGCTGTCTCCTGCTGGAAAAGCACGGGGTGCTGAGCCACAGCCCCTCTGGGTGAGAGCTGCCTGCCATGGGGAGAAGGAGTCTCCTCTTGTCCTGGGCCCTGGTGGAGCAGGACACACTGCAGGGCTGCAGCTGCCCCTCCCTGCAAAATGAGCTTCTGCACTGCTTTATCTTTGTTCTCTTGGAGACATCTTCCTCAAACCCTGGAATTACTTCCCTGAATCCTGCAAAGCCTCCTGGGGATGCTGTGGGCTCAGCTCCCCTGATGTTCCCATGGATGCACGGACCCCACAGACACAAAGCACTGTGCAGCAGAGTGCTCCTGATCCCAGGGGCTCTGGCACTGCTCAGCACCTGGCAGCAGGGGATTCCCAACAGGAGCTTCAGCAGTGCAGCAGCAGAGGAGCTCAGGTGAGCCCCAGCAGATGCATTTCCAGGACTGGCACAGCCCCGTGCCAGCCCCAGGAGCTGGCTGGCTGTTCCCCAAAGCACACAGCCTGGGAAGTCAAATGTTGCTTGCAGACACATGCACAAGAGTAGTTTTGACAGCAGCATCACCCATGAAGTGTTTCAATAATATTTTTCAGAAGACAGTTATTGTTTATAAACACCTACTGATGGGGTTATGGGTTTGCAGCTAGGGCATGTTACTGAGAAAAAAAAAAAATCTGTTATTTTATTCCATGTGATTCTGCATTGTAATAATTGATCTGCTGCTGCCAAAATTGGTCTTTTATTTCCTCACATCTTGGCATTGTATGATTTAACTTAATTGTGCTTGAATGTTAACGCAGCTGAGAAGTTGCTTTTAATTTTAAACCATCTTGCCTTCAGAATAAGGCTAATGAAAGAAATTACTGAAGTCACAAGCTGACTTAATAAAAAAATATGATAATGTTGAGATGAAAAACTGTAAGGAGAAATCAATGGGTACTTGAGCAGGCTGTTTCCACCCCGCAGGAGCCTGCCTGCTGGGAACATCGCTGACACAGAGCCACGTCCCCACCTCTCTTACAGGGGGTCTGGCCCAGCCTGGGAGCTGCACAGCAAAAGCCACGTGCAGCACCCAGCTACAAAACAAGTTACAAGCTGATCTGGTGGTTTAACACTTCAGCAACTGAGCCCCACCTGGGTTATGCCAGCAGGGATTTTTATTCTGCAAATATTCAGGATCTGGGGTTCAGGCCTGGTGGGATGGGGGTGGCAGCTCCTGATGAGCTCCTTTGTCATCCCCAACCCTTCATCCCAGAGCCTCCCCTCAGAGGACATTTTTGGAGCAATCACATATCATAAATCCCTTCAGAAGAAAAACATTTACGTGAGCATTAGTTACCTTTTTTTTTTTTTTCAGATGTCAAATATTTAACATTCCTGTACACAACAATAAGCTAAAAAGAAAAATCGTGACAAGTTTTTCTCGTGTTTTCAGGAAAATAATTAAAAAAGTCTTTCAAGTACCAGAACACTTGGCTGTGAATTAGCTTTCAATTTTTATTACATTAATATGACTAATTCAAGTGCTTATTGAAGCCATAACCCAACTAACTAAGCAGAATATAATGAAGTTTAAGTAGAAATTAAGGAATAATTAAAGATTTCTGTGTAATACAATTTTTTCTGCATAGTAGAGCCCACATATATCTGATCTTGTTCCAAAACAAAATCTTTCTTTCAAAGGAGAGAAGAAAACCCAAGAAAATCCAAGTATTTTTGAAAATCCAGGCCTTTTCTCCATTTTCCAACCAACGAGGCTGTAGCATGGAGCAGCAGAACCCTGCTGTGGTGCACCCTTTGAGGTGACTTTCCAAGGCAAAGATGCACTTTGGAGCTCCTCCATCTGCCATTTGGACCTACTGCTCCAAGAGAAGTATGAGGCAAAGACAAGAGCTCAGATTCCAACCCAGACCACCTTCTGAAAAGGCAGAGCCCAAGCCATGAGCTACTTTGGCCACAAAAAAGGACAGTTTATTGCTCACCACTCCCCCCCCTTTTAAAGACACTGATCTGTGACCAGATGAACATATTGGCAACAGGGAAATTGTTTTCTCTCCTGGTTCACATCCAGCTATTTAAAAAAAAAAAAAAAAAAAAAAAAGACCTCTAAGCACGATACTCCTGTGTGTGTGGGAGTTTAAAGAGCAATGACCATGCTGTGAGAGCATCCCCTCAGTGGCCTTAATTAAGTGAATTGTCCAGAGAGTAATTACTGATGCATGGCTTGTGCAAGCAAGAGGCTGCCCAGAGTGATGTCTGTGCCTCCTGCATACTCCACAGAGAAAAACATTTCTCCCCACAAAGCCCCACCCAGCACTAAACTGTGGTTTGATGAGCACCTGAGCTATTGGGAAGTCACTTCTCTCTTGCCATGTCCCTGACTGGGCATTGTCCATGGACAGGCTTTTTTATCAGAGCTGTCCTGCACAGACTCTGCTGCTTTTCCATCAGTTCATAAGCTTTTTTATTTCTGTAAATGCCTTTCTTGAAACATGCTGCCATCTTTGAGACTGTATCCCAGGAAGAAGGCACCATCAGAGAGAACCCTGCTGCATCAGGGTGTCCAGCAGCCCGGGGGTGATGGCCTCAGGCTGAGCATCCCAGCACCAGACCTCTGGGTGGGTGAGGGTACCATGCAGCCTCCAGGTCTTGGGTCAGAACCTCCTCCAACCTAACACTTTCTTAAAGCAAATCAATGTTTTCCACCAGGAAAAAAAAATCTGGAAATTCCCTGTGCTGATGATTTGCATTAGCTCTCAATAAAGCAAGCCCAGTGGAGCACAGCACAGCAGGGAGCACCCAGAGGCATCCCAGGGGTGCCAGCATGGCAGGGTCAGGGTGTCCTGGGCCAGGGCTGCTGCTGACTGCAGAGGTTCCTGAGCAATCCCAGCCAGGAATCTGCAATCCAGCCTCTCTCTTTCCCAGCATCTCCCTGCCTTCCTAAGGCAAGGCTGGTGGCCTCTGACTTGCTGTCCTTAACATATTTTTCCAGATTTCAGCTGAAGAGAGGAGAGGAAAAGTTATCTCAGGATGAAAAAGATAATGTGGAGGAGAGGAGGATGAAATTCCCTTGCTGGGTTTCAGCTCAGCCAGAGGAAAGGTGTCCCAGGCACTCCCAAAGGGCAGTACAATCAAAAACTTAACAGGAATTCAGAAGTTGCAAATACATCAAAGTCTCATCTTCACGTTTCTCATGCAAATATCTGCCTGGATGTGCTGCTCAAATGCTGCTCAGTGCCCCATCAGCTTCAGCTGAAGATAATAACCCTTTTCCTTGGGCAGATGAAAGGTTTGCATCAGCAGCCACACGGCTTAGTCACTTCACCAGCACAGAAAATGGAAGGGTTTTTTCCTGAAATCACGTTCTACTTTTATTTCCATCTTTTATTCACAGCTTTGGGTTTGCTACAAGGCTTCAAACGAGCACGGAAACAAATTATCCTCTAGCATTAACCACCTGCAGAACTCATTTTCATTTAGGAAAGACTAAAAAACAACAAGTGCAGCTGGAGTGTATTATTATATCTGATGATAAGGCTTCCAGCCCCATCAGCAACAGTGCTGTGTTATCTCAACACCTCAGAAGTGACAAATATGCATCCAGATGCCTACTAAGGGGTCACAGATGGTCACTTCTGATCATTAGTTTCTGAGCTCAGTGAAACATGTTTTACACAAACCCCAGAGTGAGAGAAATTATTCCAGGCAGAGCAAGAGAAATACCAAATACTGGAAGCCAGGCAGGAGCTGAATAACTCTAAAGAATTAAACAACTTCCCAAGCCCATCATTGGATCTTCAGGTGAATCCTGGTAAATCCTTCCCAAGACCTATCCAAATACCTCCCTTATGCCCACCTGGTTGCTTAAGGAAAAAAACCAAACTATTCTTATGGTATTACTCATAAAAGGACCTTCAAAATCTGGTGTGCCCCATGCAAAGGAACAGCAGAAACCAAGGCTGTCCACAGCCAGAAGGGCATGCAGCCACCAAAATCTGGTGTGCCCCATGCAAGGGAACAGCAGAAACCATGTGCCAAGGCTGTCCACAGCCAGAAGGGCATGCAGCCACCTGCAGCTTCAAAGGACACAGCAGAGGAGGATTCAGAACATGTACCAGGTTTGGGCTTCATTTCTTTAG